GACAGGTTAGGCTGGAGATTTCATAAATATTATCAGCCAAGTTAGATGAAGAATAAAATTCAAGTGGTAGTGGGAAAGACATGATAATCATTGGGTAGTTATGGAGACACGCAAGCAAGTATTTATATTTAGTAAGATGAAAACATTCGTACAGGAGTGTTTAGCTGAGCACTGACATCATAGCACTCAGGACATAAGCGCTCTGTCCTCGTTTTCAGCAGCCAGCGAAGAGTTCTAATTGCATTTGGTGCCAGCAGAACACCAAATAGATGTCCTTGGCTGTTGTGTGGTTTTTCTAGGCAAATTTACGTCCATTAGTTTGCCATTGCTTTCTTGACGGTCGGCTTTCTTGATACCAATGTCGAAACCAACGCAAGGCGCATGGCCCTCAGCTGGGATCGAACCCGGCACCCTGGCATTACGAAGCGTTCGCATCGACTTAGCCACATAGCCGACACCATATGTAACAAACACGACCAAAATAAATCAACGATGTGTGTGTGGTGGGAGGCAGTAGACATGTGTAAAGACAGTAATTGAACCCATCAATCGATCATGGGAACCCAGCTCGTCATATTCGGTTTTGCAGCTTCTGTACATATTCCGAGTCCAGCTGCAGTAAAATTCACTATACTGTTCTGCCTGGTACTTTTAATTGCCCAATCTGGCAGTTATAGGTTGTTTCAAGCCTGGCCATATTTTTGTGCCTGTCACATCTGGGATATAAACCGTATAAGTATTTCACCATTACCTACTTGCCTACCTACCTTTAACCAATGCTTCTGTTTCATTTACTTTTTATGTCAAAGCCTGGCGTTGTCTTATGACAGTTACACTTACAGTGGTAAGACACTTGTCTTAACTTATCCGGTACCAACGAATGGCCGTAGGTTTATCAGTTACTCCTGACATTACTCCAGTACATTCATTTGCTACATTACTAACCGACTCTATCCCAGTTATAACCACTTCCGTCGCACAGTAATATTATGTATACCAATTGAAAGACCCTTTTATTAGTTTAAATTCAAAACTACATGGGGTGAATAAGTTATTTTAATACAGAGTAAAAGGGTCAACAGTATTTGCGGTTTTCCCCAATGTATTTAATGTGTATCATGCTTGCTTTAAAGATATTATTATTACAGATATATTGTTTTAGTATTTATAGGAGGCCCGTCTCTCTAGCGTAGTTGGCTAAACCGGTTTGCGCGGTGAGCGGGTGACGAACTCCTTGTGGTCCGGGTTCACTCCCGGGGGTGGGCAGAAAAGCCACACAGATTTACAGTATTTACAATGGAATCAAGGCCGAAAGGTTGCGATATCCATAATACCGATCCTAAGGGTTAACAACTCATGGCTTCTGGATACTAAAACAAACAAACATAGTATTTATAGGATCAAGGTCACTGTCCCAACTGGCAATCAATATGTTGTAACATGAAACCAGACTGAAGAACTCAGTCACACCACAAATAATTATGTGCTTGCGTACAATTACGGAGACTTTTGATTATTTCACCCACTCTTTGTGCAGTAGGTAGCAGTGTCGACTATTCCTATATATTGTTTAAAAACCTAAATAAATAAATACTGAAAAGTGATTTATTGATTTAGTCACTAGAACATATATCTTACAGGCCATGTCATGTGGCTTTGATAATCATGCCTGTCTTGCCTAAGAGCATATAATGCTTTACATTTATAAAGTGGAAAACATTAAAAAATAAGCAGCGGTAGAGAATTTGTCCTAGAGCTCGTCACGTCCTCAAATTGGCGGGGTTTTTAATTGTAGTGTTTAAATAATCAAAGGCTGATTGAGTGTTAAACTAGTAAACACCAAATGAAAGTAAATGAAATACAAAGTTATTGGAACCCTCTTGCAAACAAAACACTAGCCCTCTCTGGGTTTACGCTTGACCCAGTCTGTTCACACCGTCCCATCATCTCATACAAAGCACTTTGCAAGTCTCTGGTTATTTAGTTTTCAGATGTGTGGTTTCATTTCATCAGGCTATATCAAAGGCAATCGCTGGTTGGTTGTGAATTCTTTAGAAGTATGTGGGTTTTCGCTATCAAGTCAGTTACCTAGATATTCAGAACTTAACAGACATGATAAGTGAATTTGAATATCAGAGTAAGCTTCTGCCCTGACTGGGAATACAAGTGCCATTATTACTCCAACACAACATACCCAGATGAGACCAAAAGAAATCGTCAAAGACAATAACTTTTTTATTTGAAGTCACTCATTTCCTTTTGATCTATGGACGTAAAAAAAAAAAACCACACAAGACTTTTAGCTAACTTGAATTAAATTTAATATTCCACAACATGAAGTACTAACCAGTATACGATCTCTACCTAAATGTGATATCAGCATCAGGATTGTACACACGCACTCGCACACACATGTTCATTCTTCATTTAAAGATCATCACACATCGGACCTGACCATAAGCGCTCCGATGCCCTGCAGTACTACCTAAAGATGCAAGAATCGCTATTTTCTGAAGATGCCCTCGTTAAATGTAACAACAGTTGTTCTCTCCCATTCTATGGATATCGACCATTATCAATATATATTTGCACATTGGAATAAGAAACGAACTTGGGCCCAGCAACACACTAGCTGACCTTTCATTGTTGCTTGCTCATGCTGATCTACGCTAGAGGGGTGTTCAGGTACACTGTCGTCTTCGCAAAGCTTTCTGCGCTGCGTGTTAATCGTTGTTCTGTGACCAGCGGTTACCGACATTGCCTTTTTACTCTTAAGCAGAATTTGTGTTTGTTAGCCTGGGACTGCTCACTGTCTAAAAGAGTCAGATGGACAAACTAGAGCGCATACAGAACGCGGCTATGCGGGTCATTCTGGGTTGCACCAGAGACACTCTAGTGATGTGTATGCGATACATCCTTGATCTGCCGACTGTTGCAGGTACGCACACGGTGCTGCAGGCGAAATCATATCTCAGGGTAGCTGCAGACACAGACCACCCTTTGCATGGAGCTCTGGGTGCAGTTAAGGGTCAGCGGCTGATAAGAGAGAAGTCATGGATGGCTCAGGCAGAAGACACAATCAGACAGGCTTGCATCCTTGAGAACATAAAGCGAGGAGAGTAGTGGGTCAGAGTGCCACTTGAACAGTCAGACTTGTGTAGGGTCATAATCACACTGAGCTGGGAATGCAGAGATTGGCCAGCAGGTGCCATGGAGATGGAAATTTGAGGATTTGATCATTTACACAGACGGTTCAGGGTCAAGAGGCAAAAGAAGTGCTTGTTTTTTTTTTTAGCAAAAGTTAATGGTCGACGTTTGGTGCAGGAGAGCTAGTATATGATACCACAACACAGTGGAGGTGGAGGCGATCACTGCAGCTTTCCCCTAGCTAGAGGACAAGACACACACACACATCGTAATGAGAGGTTCTAGTAGATGCTCGAGGCTCAGCGGAAAGGCGAGACGGACGTTTATTTAGAATGCTGCTGGCACCATTAGTATCGGAACTCTTCGTTGGCTGCTGAAGATGGGGACGGAGCGCTTATGGAAAAGCCCCGAGTGCTGTGATGTCGGTTCTGGAATCAAATCAAATCAAATCATCATGTGTTGGTTGGTGGATATATAATAGGCGTCTAGAATTTTAAGTAGGACATGAGTTTATTTAAGCTGTCAGCGTTGGCGGGCGACGATGAGGAAGCCGTTGCGTTTCTGGAGCAACAGAGCGTTTTGGGGAGCCACCGAAAAATGTTAACAAGTCTGAAACCAGGGGGCGTAGAATGCACTCTCTCGTGGGACCTAGACTTGGTGTGTGGGGAAGAGACAGGGGTTGGGATTAGGGCCAGTAGTACTTATTATGGGATCGTTAAAAGCGCTAACATCCTGTAATATAGAGGACGCATGGCGGCCGGTAAGGCCGTCGACACAACACAACCTCGCACCAACCTGACGCCCCTGCCGCTTAGACTTACGCGACTCAAAGGTTAAGAGGTTTCGTAGTGAAAGCCAATGGAAAATATGTAGTGCAGGACAGCCTGGCATATGATACCACGACATCTAGCATGATAATGGAGGCGAAGGCGGTCACTGCAGCTTGCCGGTGGCTAGAGAACAAGATACATACACATGTTGTAATTGTAACGGACTCTGAAAGCATGCTAAAAATATGTGAAGACAGGAATGCTTTGAGCAGAGTCTCAAACTTCACTTGCAAGGTCACGGGTAGTGAGCATACTCTGTATCTTTTCTCCAGGTGATGCTGGCGTGGTGGGGAATGAGCAGGCAGACAGATTGACTGGATCTGCACCGCTGTTTGGTGAATTGATACATCACAAGGCAGATTTGGTCGGAGCACTTTGGGAACAAGTAACGAAGTCAAAATAGAAACACGATTATTATGGGCTGGAGAGAATGATGCCGCTGGGTGTGACCAGAGGGTTCGACCGGCACAATACGCTAAGAAGAAAGGCAAGACGGTCATACAGCCAGACTATAACTGGCACCATTATTAGTAGAACTCTGTGCTAGCTGTTGAGGATAGGGACGGAGCGCGTATGGGAAAGCCCCGGTTGCTGTTATGACAATTCTTGACTCAACTCAACTCAAATGTTAAGACGCATAAAGCAACGTCCAATTAGTGTCCTGGGCACGACTTAGTTACTCAACCCAGTGTGCTGGGCCCGAGTTCGTTCGTGTCTTATCACTGCAGAATGCGGCAAAAGTTCTACTTGCCCATTAAATACATCACCAAGTTAAAGTCGGGTCACTAGTTTGGACTGTCGCGTCACAAAAACTGTGACTTCCGGAACGTTTGAGCCAACCAGCCAGCAGTGGAATCAGCTGGTTTTGAATCATCATCATGGAATTCAGTTTATATTACACGCCGTTCCACTCTAATCAGTATATAATATTGCCTCAGCTACATTAATCTACGATGTTATTTAGCAAGGACAGCGATGGTGGCCCTGGCACAGGTCAGGATCGTGTGAAATTCTCCAGGTGAAATGGATTTACCGTCGCCAGCAGACGTCGCGATTATGAGCCTGAGTACGTCACGTAGTTCGTCCACTCCCTCCTTGAATGGCGATAAAGATTGCCAGTCGCTGGATAGTTTTTATAGATCTTCAGAAGAAGATGATGATTTCGACACCGTTAACTTGGACGAGTATATTAAACCTAGTCTCAAACGATATCTGTACCCACAGAAAGAGTTCGTGGAGGAGCTAAGGCCCGAAGAGGTTAGGTGGTTCTATAAACACGAAGGGGGTAAAAAGTGGACGTCTTTTATAGGGTATGATTCTCTGAGGATTGAGTGCAGGTTCCGAGCTTTGAAACTCAGTAACGAAAACGGCGATATTGACGAAAATGAAAGAATTCTTGTCAGAGGTGGATTATATGAAGTTGATGTCAAGAATAAAAAATGTCTCCCTGTGTACTGGACTGGTGAGTTGTCAAATAAGTTTTAAAGTATGGAAATTATCAAAGCTTATTTTATTACATGATGGGGCTTTTCTGTAAATGTATCTCTTGTGATTAATGTGATGCAAGGACGATTAACTTACTGTCCTCTGTCTAAAAGGGGAAACCACACAGTAAAAACAAATAAAAACAGCTTTAGAATTATTGCCATTGTCTCTGCCCAGAAGTATTCTACTTGACATAAACAAACATGCTTTATTTCAGGTCACTTAGCCGACCAATTGGTCAGTTATGATAATGACCAGTCACTTGTGTCACCAAGGCCCATTAAGTAAATTTGAACAGTTACTGCTAAGTTTACTATGCAAGAGACAAGCAAGGAGGGTTGGCCTGACACTGGCTGCCTCACCCCGTAAAATGTAGTTGCAGACTGCAAGAGACAAGCAAGGAGGGTTGGCCTGACACTGGCTGCCTCACCCCGTAAAATGTAGTTGCAGACTGCAAGAGACAAGCAAGGAGGGTTGGCCTGACACTGGCTGCCTCACCCCGAAAATGTAGTTGCAGACTGCAAGAGACAAGCAAGGAGGGTTGGCCTGACACTGGCTGCCTCACCCCGTAAAATGTAGTTGCAGACTGCAAGAGATCATGAATGTGAGTTGGAGTCTTATACTCTGTTAGGAGATGAAATCATCATCATCAGGTGCCTTGCCGACTGGCGTGGGTGATCATGCCTCTCCATAATCTGCGATCTCCTGCAGCATGTATCAGTTCGGGTGCCGACACAGCTCCATGCCATACAACAAGACTGTCAAGCATCTTCTTTCCTTTTCTTCCTCTATCCCTTTTTCCACAGATCTTTCCAGTGGTCCCAACATGTTCTATTTTCCATTTTCTCATAACATGGCCGAAAAATGATGACTGTCTCCTTTTGATGTCTGTGATAAGTTGTCTTTGGGCTCTCGCCTCTTTCAAAACCTCTTGGTTGCTCTTTTTGGCTGTCCAAGGTATTCTAAGCATTTTTCTGTAAAACCACATCTCTGAGGCCTCTAAAAATTGTTTGGCCTGCCTACCGATTGTCCAGGATTCACATCCATATGTTAAAACTGGATGTATGTAGCAAGCAAGAATTCTTTTTCTAACTCTCAATGACAAGGATATATTGCACAAGATGTTTTTCATTTTATAAAATGCAGTTTTTGCCTGTCCAATTCTGTTTCTTATTTCAGTTATGCATCTTCCATCTGATGTTATCCATGTACCCAGATACTTAAATTTCTGTACTTGTCCTAAAACAGCACCATCGACTTTTATTACACATTTAGGAATAATTTGTTTCTTTGATACCACCATTACTTCTGTCTTCCCATTATTCAAACAGAGGCCCATTCTTCCACTTTCTAACACACAATGTCTATCATTTCCTGTAATTCTTTCTGACTTGTTGCTATCAAGACTGTGTCATCAGCATAACGTAAATTGTTTATATTGTGCCCACCAACCACAATTCCGGGCTTCTCATTTAAAGATCTCATTATATATTCACTGTATATTGAAAACAAATCAGATAACAGTACACATCCTTGTCGTTCGCCCCTCTTTATGCTTTGAAATGTACCTAAACAGTTGTTTATTCTTATAGCTGCTGTTTGCTGCCAATACATATTCTTTATTATTCGTAGATCTTTCCCATCAATGTTTAATTTTTCTAACAGTTTGATTACTTCTTCATGCTTCACACAGTCAAATGCTTTTGTATAGTCTATGAAGCATAAGTACAAATCAGTCTTTACTTCTATAGCTCTTTCTGACAATGTCCTTAGGATGTAAATGGCATTGTTTGTACCTTTTCCTTCTACAAATCCACATTGTTCATTGCTGATTTCTGGTTTAATTTTGTTTCTTATTCTTCTCATAATTATTCTCAGTAAAATCTTAGTCATGTGACTCATAAGACTTATTGTGCGATGGTCTTCACATTTTAAAGTGCCTGGTTTCTTTGGCAGAGCTATAAATATGGATTTTAAAAGGTCATTTGGAATATACCCACTTTTATAAATATCATTAAAAAGTTTAGTTATTATTTCAATTCCAAAATCTCCCATTGCTTCGATTTCTTCCAGTGAGATGTTGTCTGGCCCGGGTGCTTTTCCTTTCTTTATATGATGTATTGCATCCTCAACTTCTGCAGTCATTATTGGTGGACCATCATTGTTGGTCTACAGTTCTACATCTGGTCTATTATCTTCATACAATTCCCCTATATACTCTGTCCATCTGTTAATTATATTACTATGTCCCATTAATAAGTCACCATCTTTTGATTTCAAACATCCAGTGCTGTTACGTGTCATCTTTCATGTTAACATATTTATCTGTTGGTACATGGAATGTGAGTCTTTCCTGTGATTTTCCCCAATCTCTGTACACATTTGATTCAGCCAGGCTTCTTTAGCCACTTTGCATTTGTTCACTATTTCTTTTTGTATTCTAGAGTATTCTTCTTTATCATTCTTTTTCTTCCTTCTTTCATCCATCAACTGCAGAATTTCGGTTGACATTCATTTCTTTTTTGCAACTCTATGGGTTGGTGGGATTGTCTCTTTTGATGTCTGCTGAATTGACTCACGCAACATATCCCACTGTTCATCAATAGTCTGTATAATTTCCATTCCATTATACCGGTTTTGTACAGTGACATTGTACTGTTCGTTAATTTCTTTATCCGTTCTAAGAATTCCTAAATTTAACTTGATGTTCTGTGGTGTTTTTCTAATGTTCTTTAGTTTTATTCTAATTTTTCCTACAACTGGAACATGGTCACTAAAGCAGTCTGCCCCTGGTCTAGTTTTTGCTCCAACTAAGCTGCTCTGGAATCTTCTTGAAATCAAAATCTGATTGCGGACATTATCACCAGGACTTTTCCAAGTCCACAATCTTCGAGGATGGTGTTTAAACCAGGTGTTACCTATTATCATGCTGCGCGACTCAGCCCATGCTATTAATCTGTCACCTCTCACATTCTTTTCTCCTAGGCCATAGCCACCCGTTATTCCGTACACTATTTCACTTCCTACTTTCGCGTTGAAATCTCCAAGTACCATTGTTACTTCACAATTTTTGCATTGATCAACAGCCATGTCAAACTCGTCATAAAATGCGTCAATATCTTCCTCTGAACTATCTGCTGATGGGGCATAAATCTGTACTAAGTTAATGTCAAACGGTCTGCCGCAAAGTTTTACTAATAGTACTATAATATATACTATAATAGTATATTTATATACTATAATATAATATAATATATATATACTATAATAGGAGATGAAAGGCAGAAGATAAAGAGAATTGCAGTTCTGTTACATTCACAGAGGCCAAATATAATTGTTTTATAACAACAAGCATGAGATATCTTTAAAGTGCAGTGATTTAAGTGTAAATATATACATGTTGCCACCTTTCTGTCGTTCAACACCATAGTCTTATACTGTGCTATAAGGAGGCCTGAGATATACACATCTTGTCAGGATATACTTTACCTGCTATACAACCCAGTGTATCCCTCTGCTGCAAGAAACCAGATATACACATCTTGTCAGGATATACTTTACCTGCTATACAACCCAGTGTATCCCTCTGCTGCAAGAAACCAGATATACACATCTTGTCAGGATATACTTTACCTGCTATACAACCCAGTGTATCCCTCTGCTGCAAGAAACCAGATATACACATCTTGTCAGGATATACTTTACCTGCTACACAACCCAGTGTATCCCTCTGCTGCAAGAAACTAGATATACACATCTTGTCAGGATATACTTTACCTGCTATCCTATCCAGTGTATCCCTCTGCTGCAAGAAACCAGATATACACATCTTGTCAGGATATACTTTACCTGCTATCCTATCCAGTGTACCCCTCTGCTGCAAGAAACCAGATATACACATCTTGTCAGGATATACTTTACCTGCTTTCCCTTTTAGGCTGGGTTGATCCGGTAGCCTTGATCATTTTTATCCTCCGAATAATGGTCCCAGATTATCGAGGCTAAACTAGATTAATTTTGATCATGCAGTTTTAAAAAAAAGTTGGCTTAACTAGATGGCTGGGACTCATGAGGAAAAAAAATAAAGGAAGCTGCACGAGATGCAGTAGCTGCTGCTCGTGAGTCCCAGCCATCTAGTTTAGCCCCGCACCATGCCGCTCGTAGCAGCGGGGGAAAACTCTTGGCAATGACTTTAACTCGGCGAAAGCTTTTCCGTGGTATGCTGTGTAGTCGCTGGAAAGAGGTCTGTAATTTACATGGGACGAGGCCCTGTTAGGGTATTTTTTTTGACCTCGATAATTTGGGACCGTTATTCGGAGGATAGCCCAAGTTAATAAGGGTTTAAACATCATCTTTGGACCCCATGCAAGCATCTAGTTGCTGTGATGCAACAGCTCCCCCCCCCCCCCCCCCCCCAAAAAAAAATGTGATGTGGATTCAGATGACAAGCATCAAGCTGCTTCACCACCCTGGCTCTCAACCCCCCCCCCCCCCACACACACACACACACACACACAATCTTCTCCTTGACTTATGACCTGTGCCACTTATCACCATCTGCACTTATCCCCCCCCCCCCCCCCTCCCTCCCCCTTTTCCGAGAATTAAAATAGTAAATAAAGAAAAAATAACTATGTTGGTGGAATCAGTAAGTTTCTGGAACTGAGGCAGTAGAGTACATATAATGTATTTTGTTGTTGTTACATTATGTACAAAAATCATATGTACCTAGACTGAATTTATGTATTTCATAAACAGTTTATGTAACCTATTTGAATAAACACAGTATTGAAAAATATAAATTGAGCTTACGACCAGTTTGACCTATAACCTGTTATTCGGAAATGAACTCGGTCATCAGTCGAGGACACCCTGTGTATATAAAGCCATGTTACCAAATCAAATATGTTTGACAGTATACTTTTGACATGACACTGTACCCCCCACCCCCCCCCCCCCCCACCCCTCCCCTTTCCCCGCTTATATCCAACCGGGAAGTAGTATTTTTTAAGCTAGTCTTGAACTTATAATAAAATTATAACCTGTACAGTCCATGGCGACAGCACTAGCAATGCACCCTACAGCCTCAGACTGAGAGACCTCCCATGCTCGTGCGCGCACACACACACACACACACACTCACACACACACACACTCTCTCTCTCTCTTTCTTTCTCTCCTCTCTTCCAACCTAGACCACAAAAAGTGGTAAATACAGTCAGAAACTGGCATCAGTTTGTCCAAAAATGAAAGGATGTATTGGAGTCTGGTTTCACTGACTGTTCTCTTGTGCAACAGAAGATGAATCGGACATTGTCAGAGGTGTCTGGTTTGAGGAGGGACACTGGCAGCCATTAGATGAGAGCTTTTCCATTCAGATAGAGACGGAACATTTAGCTAAGTTCAGAGGTCACCGCCTGGAAGAAGCACCAGAGTCAGCAAAAGGACCTAAACCAGGTGTGTTCATTTGTGTGTTTGTTTGTTTGTGTTACACAGATCTGTGTGTAAACATAATGTGTAAACATTCTCTTTTTCTCTCTCTTTCTCTGTCTCTCTCTCTCTCTCTCTCTCTTTCTCTCTCTTTCTCTCTTCTCTCTCTCTTTCTCTGTCTTTCTCGGTCTGTCTCTCTCTCTCTCTCTCTCTCTCTCTCTCTCTCTCTCTCTCTCTCTCTGTCTGTCTGTCTCTGTCTCTATCTCTCTCTTTCTCTGTCTTTCTCTGTCTGTCTGTCTCTCTCTCTCTTTCTCTCTCTCTTTCTCTCTCTTTCTCTCTCTGTCTCTGTCTCTGTCTCTCTCTTTCTATCTCTTTCTCTCTCTTTCTCTCTCTCTTTCTCTGTCTTACTCTGTCTCTCTCTCTCTCTTTCTCTCTCTCTTTCTCTCTCTGTCTGTCTCTGTCCCTCTCTCTCTTTCTATTTCTCTCTCTCTTTCTCTCTCTTTCTCTCTCTCTGTCCCATTTTCAGCTCAAGATAGTAGGATGTCCCATTTTCAGCTCAGGAAATTAGTGGGATACCCCATTTTTCAGTTCGAGATATAAATTGGATGTCCCATTTTCAGTTTAAGATATTAGTGGAATGTCTCATTTTCAGCCCAAGATATAATGATCACCGTAGCTTCATCATGTAATAGTAGTCAAGACAGCAATGTGTGCACCACAGCAAGCATTCATTCTGATCATGCAGTTTTAAAAAAAAAAGTGTTTCTTTGGATCAGTGAGTTACATTAGACTATGTATTTCCCCCCAGTGATTCACAACATTAGGTTCAAGGATTTTCATGTGGACTGGAATGCAACAAATGAGATCTACAAATACAATGAGTCCAGGTCATCAAAGATGATACGCAATGTTCGTCAGACCCTGGGCTGGCAAAAATGTAAGTCGTGTTTATATTCTTACTTCATTTATTTTGTTTGTTTAAAATAAAATATCTTCAACCACAAAATGTTTTCATATTTCATTTCTGAAAGAAAATGCATTCCCCCCCCCCCCCACCCCCACCCCTTCCAAGTCTTACTCACTAAATATGCTATAGAAAACCCAATTCTGTGTGTTTTAAAATGTGTCTACCTAAGTAAAATGTGCATGTATGTGTCATTAGGTTAATGTTTGAATGCTTGTCACCACATAATGGATGCCGGGGCTGTTTGTCTGCACCTTTAGATGATCTAAACTAGCACACACTTTGAAGACAAGAAGTATCACAGCTTCTCATTCACTTTCAGCTGGAACTCGTTTGCGACGAGGCTACTGTTATGAGGCAATAATGGATGACAAGCCACCAGATATAAACCACCTAGTGTTCGTCATTCATGGTATCGGCCAGAAGATGGATACTGGAAGCATAGTTCGCTGCACCAGGGAGTAAGTAGCAATGTATTGTCTCAGACATAATATTCTCTATTCTTCAATACCATCACTGTAAAACTCTTTGGAATAATTCAAAGTTTCTGCTGACCTTTGTTACTGATTCAGCACATAGTTAATGAGATCATTTTGTTTTAAACTACACATGGTTCTTGGTATATCATGGTGAGATTTTGTCCCCAGTGCATATGTACTCAGAAGAGTAGGAATGCCAACAGTATACTTTCTGTTGAAGCAAAGGCGCCCCACGGTGCGTGACATGTCTCACGTATGAAGGATGGTCACATTCCAAAAGATCTCCTGTATGGTCAATTGGAAACAGGGAAAAGATCTGCAGAAATTCCAAATCTACTCTATCAGGACATATGCAGAAGAAGCCTAAAAGATACCAACATTAACACAGACACTTGGGAGAGAGCAGCTGCAGACCGACTCCTACGGACAAAGACAGTGTGATTCTTGTCAAACTGCAAAAGGCAAAATGCAGCAAGCTTTAGATAAGAGTGCCTGAGAGGAAACCAGCCTTTGTATAATACAGTATCAGCGTAAAAATTTTTTTTTTTATCTATTTGTCAGAGACTGCCACTCCCATATTGGACTTTACAGTCATAGCACTGGCTGTTGCCAGAAGGACACACGGACACAGCTCCATGGCCCCTTGGTGACTGGTGGTTGTCTTCTCATGACTGTGACATTGGCAGTCTGTTAATATGGGTTCCACAAGTTCATGCATAGGACTGTAGCTCAGAAATGGGATGGTGACTCCACCACTTGGTGTAGTGATCTTATCCATGTCATTACAACTGTTGTCCTATCATAGTTAGGGTGTGCCCACAGATTCAAGATCTGTCTGTTGTCTTGAGGGTGCTCTGTTATCAGCTTGCATCCCATTGTATGAAAAGTGTTTGTATGCCTGACATGCGTGTCAGTCACATTTGACTGTTAATGTCCCCAGAGTACGAGACCGTGTCAAGTACATGAGAGCAAAGATGTTTCCAGAATTTGATACGGTTGGCCAGAGAGCAGAGTTTTTACCTGTCCAGTGGCGGTCATCTCTGAAGCTGGATGGAGGTACGAATAAATATAAACCTAATTATGTTGATAGAAGGCCTTCTAAAGTCTTCTAGAATGTATAGAAAGTGAGTACCAATGGGTTTTCTTTCATAGGGCACTTTGTAAAAAGTACACTAAGTATTCTTAATATATCTAGGTTTTTCAGTTGCCTAATACCCCTCTGATAATAAACAGATGATGGTTCTAGAAAGGGAAGGTCAGGTTTGCTAAGACTTGTTTTTTTTTTATTTTTTTATTTATTCTAACTATGCGCAATATCCTATCTTCTGACAAACATGTGATGGTTCTAGAAATGACTATTTATGTGTGTGTGTGTGTGTGTGTGTGTTTTTTTAAAAAAATACATTTTCAACTTGTAGCATGAGGATGGTGGTGCAGATAATCTTTGTAGCTCTGAAGCAGACAGCAGATTCTCAGTCTGAACTGTGGAAGGTTAAAATGGGACAAATGTGGCACTTAAACATGACACAGACTCACAAGGATACACTGTCCAGACATGCAGCAAACATGACACAGACTCACACGGATACACTGTCCAGACATGCAGCAAACATGACACAGACTCACAAGGATACACTGTCCAGACATGCAGCAAACATGACACAGACACACACGGATACACTGTCCAGACATGTAGCAAACATGACACAGACTCACAAGGATACACTGTCCAGACATGTAGCAAACATGACACAGACACACAAGGATACACTGTCCAGACATGCAGCAAACATGACACAGACACACAAGGATACACTGTCCAGACATGTAGCAAACATGTCACAGACTCACACGGATACACTGTCCAGACATGTAGCAAACATGACACAGACTCACAAGGATACACTGTCCAGACATGTAGCAAACATGACACAGACTCACAAGGATACACTGTCCAGACATGCAGCACTACGAGGGAATGGAAGAGCAGATGTTTTGGCTACAGAAGGATAGCTACAGTAGCACTCGTACTGGGCAAAGAAGACATTCTAAAGAGTATATTTTTGTCTTCTTCTGCGTTCGACATCAGCCATGCTAAACATTGAGTCCCGTCTGGGTCACAAATAGGATTGTGCATTTAAGGTCGCCACCGGTCCCCCATAGCTTCTCTCGCAATGTGGCTCCCTTGGGCCATATCCACAGTCTTTGCTGGGAGAGGTAAGGGCAGTACTGTAGTATGTGCTCAGGGGTCTGTCTTTCTGCTCCACAATCACAGGCAGCAGATTCTGTTTACCTATTCTGTACAGGTGTGTATATATATATATTGATATATATATATATATATAAAGATATATAGATAGAGTATATATAGATGAAGGTTTATCTAATGAGGTTAGAATAGCATGTCTAACAGTGTGTGCACATGGAATTCGGTGTGGATCTGGCAAGAGTATGAGAGGAACAGTGGATAATCAGTCCACTACAGGACAAATTAGTATCTATACAAGTAGGCAGTAAATGGCTAAGTAGCCACAGTGGCTATGGTCACTGGCCAGTTTGGTCACTACCAGGAAAAAAAACAACAGCGAATTACCTTGCATCAGAAAGTGAAACAGGGATGGGTTCACACCAGTTGTCAGCTAAATGTCCTGACACCTTCTTAAATGTCTGTTTTTCTCTGTTTGGGCTGCTACCTATTGGTTTGGTCACTCCCTGAGACATCAAGAGTCTCATGCTGGATGGGAAAGATGAGATGGATATACAATCAGTTACTGGTGCCATCGGAATTGGAACTCTTTGTTTGTTGCTGAAGATGGGGGATGGAGCACTTATGGGAGTGTCCCGAGTGTTGGGATATTGATTCTTAATTCAACTTTCAAATTAACCTGGATGGAGGTCAACAGGGTAAATCCCACATATTGTGCGTAACCTCAAAAGAAGTTATAAATAATATGTATATAGGGCATCCCTAACGGCTGCACCAGCTAGTTACATCTGCAGTCCTACATGGTAGATGAGATCTCACAGCTTCTTCTTTCATTCTTAAGTGCAAACCTTTCTCTCTTTCAAGTGTGTGTGTGTGTAAATACACATAAAAGTATTCACATTGTTCGATGATAGCCCTTCAAATAACATTTTCAATGTACATGCTTTTAACAATGGTGTCCGTTGAGGCGAAAGGCACAGATTTACTGTTTAATCAACATACAACTGGCACTATTAGCCACCAGACGCTGGAGTTCATTCTGTTGGGGGAATCTGAGCACCTGTGGGCATGTCCAGAATGCAGGGATGATAACCCAGTTAACTAACTAACTAACAAACAATGGCCATGCTGATGTTGAACATTGTTCTTGCAGATACGGTCGAGTCAGTGACACCACACAAAATGAAAGGAGTCCGCAGTGTTCTCAATAGTTCTGCCATGGATGTCTTGTACTACACCAGTCCTCTATACAGATCTGAGGTGAGGATTAGGCAGGCTGTCTTTGTCATCCTTTGCTGCATCAGACCTCTGTATGTTTGGCAAGCAAGTCTCATTATACAGAAAACCAACTCCCCATTTGACAGACTTGGCTCACATTAATTTCCCTTTACACGAATGGCAGAGGGGGGTGGGGTAAAATAAAGGCAACAGAGAATGTAATATATTTCCAGTCCCTACAAAAGTATAGATTTGTTTTAAAGAGGAATGAATGTACATTTTGAATCTGATGACATTTGTTTGTTTAATTTGGTTATAGTTAGTAGGAAAGAAGAACTCAGCAGGTGTCATGTTTACCCCAAAAATAATGAAAAAATATCTTTACTTACAGTGGTTTTGCAGCCACAAGAGCTGTGAATATCCAAATTTGAGAAAAGCACTTTAAAATGTGTTCAATTTTCTAACAAATTCGAAAGTTGTGATAAGTTTGTGGGTTAGTTTACCACTCAGAGACACTAAGTTCTCACAGAGTGCTGAACAAAATATCCGAAGAAAAAAATAGACCATTGCTCATAATATTTACTTTGCACAGTTGTATACAGTAGTGGCTGTAATGATGTCAGTGTAGCTTCACCAAAATTGTTCTTTCTATTTGTTTGGAGCACTTTCCTTCCCTTACACCCCAAATACAGGAGCAGTGGAACATTCTGTAGGTCAGACTCATCAGAATTGTTAGATTCCCAAACAGCTGACCGCTCAGCTGCCTCTGGTGAAAATTTAAGACTTATCCGTCTTTTATACTGACTTAATAATTGAATATACTTGTCTGTGTGTCATCTTCTTCTTTTCTGTCATCTTCTTATTGCTCTTCTTTTTGGCACATGGCATTCTTGTTTACAGCTAGGCTGTGTTTCTTTCTTTCTTTGTTTATTTTCATTCACCAGCTGTAAACTCCTGTGGAAATTCCTTGTTGTTCATCCATGTTTGGACTTTGATCTTGTTCCAGGAACTGAATTGTGTGTGCATCCTGTTTTACAGATCTGGCTTATTTGCATGCATACTCTTGGTTCCGGGCCTCTCAGGAAACAACCCTGATTAGTTCGCCTTTTACAACATGTTCTATGGGTGGGAGTATATTCTCTCCCCCTACTTCCCAGGGAACCCTCAGCAGGAATCTTGATTGTCATTTCTGCATCTTTCAGCTCAACACATTTGATTTTCTCAGACTCCTGATTAGTTGCCTTCTACAACACATTTGATGTTCTCAGACTCCTGATTAGTTGCCTTCTACAACACATTTGATGTTCTCAGACTCCTGATTAGTTGCCTTCTACAACACATTTGATGTTCTCAGACTCCTGATTAGTTGCCTTCCACAACCCAGTTTTTGCTCCTAAATCCCCACAGAAAGTGTTCTATCTACTATACAACTTTACAAGCCCTTGTTCAGGTGAGACCTAATAATTGACCACATATGTGTGTATTACCCAGCGATCTATCTTAGCATACATTTGCAGTCTGAAAAAGAAAAAAGGGGGGGGGGGGGATATAAAAACTACAACTGACTATGGCACTGACATTACTAGTATAATGACAAGATAGGGAAGGATTCTTTATTAGCCCTTACCACTACTGATTCCAGTTGATGCCTGTTGTACTTGCAGATAACCAACAGTTTGAGGACAGAAATAACCAGGCTGTACCATACATTCTGTTCAAGACATCCATATTTTGAAGCGAGCAATGGCAAAGTCTCAATAGTTGCACACTCCCTGGGTAAGCTTTCATTTTTGTAACTTCATATGTTCCTGGGTTTGAAAAAAAAAAAAAATTCCTTACATCCATTTTTCACATTGTCCATTTCTTAGCCCATCCATGTGTCCAGTCATTCGCATGTTCTTTCATTTATTCATTCATCCGTCTGCCTGTATAATTGTGGTTCTCATGCCTTCTGCTTTAGGAGTCATGGTGTTTCAGTAGCTAGTTCACTCACCAAGTGTTTAGTCCTGAATACAATCCACAGAAGTCACATGGTTGTCTTTAGCATCACCTCTCTTAGGTAGCGGTCAGTATGAGTGTCAAGGCTGATGCAGTGTCAAGGCTGATGCAGTGTCAAGGCTGATGCAGTGTCAAGGCTGATGCAGTGTCAAGGCTGATGCAGTGTCAAGGCTGATGCAGTGTCAAGGCTGATGCAGTGTCAAGGCTGATGCAGTGTCAAGGCTGATGCAGTGTCAAGGCTGATGCAGTGGGATTAGACCAAAGTGACCATAAAGGGAGATGGTACAAGGGCTATTCCAAAATCAATCTCATAGTGGCTGGTAACAATTATTAGTTATTATCTCTTCAGCAAGTTGAAGGTCTAATTGGCTACTCACCGCTTTGACACTCCTGATAAGTTCGTGGATCTAGTCAACTGGCCGTTCCTTGAAGAGGGGTTATGAAAACTTGTGCCACAATAGGACAAGTGCCTGAATTTAGATGGTGACTACATGAAAAAAGCAATGCAGTGATATGTGTACCTCTTGAATATATTTAGATGTTCTTATCTATTTGTTTAAATATTTACCAGAGCTTGATTTTAGAATAGCCCTCGTGATTTCAGTGTGAGTGTAAAAGAAAATGAGCTGACAGTATGACCTTAAAGGGAGATAGTTGTTACCCGTAGTTTTATTGCAAAGGTGAATCAAGACTGTTTAAAAACAGAGTCTCGTGTATAAAGTCAGAGCCACCAGTATGAGAATGGAGTTAGAGGCAGTATCGGTAGCTTTCCAATGGCTTGAAAGCAGCACAGCACAACATGCTGTAATTGTAACTGAATAACACAGCATTGTTATGTATTCTCAACCTTACTGTATGGCACAGAGACATGGACAATGAACAAACAACTGGAAAATCGTATCAATTCTTTGGAGATGTGGATATACAGAAGATTAGGTCGTATTTCATGGAAACAAAAGCTATCAAATACAGAGGTACTGAGCAAATTGGGAATGAAAAGAGAGTTGCTAGGTGAAATAAAAAGAGACAAGTAAAATATTTTGGCCACATTAAAAGACATAACAGTATTGTAAAGATCATCCTAGAGGGAAAAGTTCAAGGTAGGCGAGCAAAAGGCAGACAGCGTTACAAGTGGGAGGATAACATCAAGAGATGGACAAACAGCAGTGTGAGTGAGTGTACATCAAGGGCAAGAGACAGGGCTTGTTGGAGATCCATTGCAGCCAACCTTCATTGTGGAGACGGCACCTGATTGATTGAACACAGCATGCTTCAGAAAATAGAACGATAAAAACCGGTGTCCTACGTGTAGAGTGTCTTGCATCACTTGATAAGATTCAGATCAGGAGCTTATTTTCTGTCTAGAATATTCGGGTGTGCAGGATAATGAGCAGGCTGATAGATTAGCTGCTGCTATTCCTCTGGGTGGTGAGCTACTTTATGATAAAACATAAATGGTGAAGGCTGTCTGTGATCAAAAGGACAGTGCAACAGACCAGACCAGGCATGCATACACTGACAGACTGATTCATTGGCAGGTAGGAGCTGAGGGGAAAACACAGGTGGGCAGTGCAACAGACCAGACCAGGCATGCATACACTTTCAGACTGATTCATTGGCAGGTAGGAGCTGAGGGGAAAACACAGGTGGGCAGTGCAACAGACCAGACCAGGCATGAATACACTGACAGACTGATTCATTGGCAGGTAGGAGCTGAGGGGAAAACACAGGTGGGCAGTGCAACAGACCAGACCAGGCATGAATACACTGACAGACTGATTCATTGGCAGGTAGGAGCTGAGCGTCTGGAAATATTCAACACTGAGGGGAAAACACAGGTGGGCTGTTGATCAGGCTCCAACTGGTACTGTTAGCATAGGGACTCTTCATTGACTGCTAAAGAAGGAGACAGAGCATGTATGAGTGTCCTGAGTGCTGAGCTGTCAATTCTTAATTCATTTATTTATTCATTCATTCAGGGAGATGGTGATTTCAGTATGAGTGTAAAGGGAAATGCAGCTGGTATTGTCAGTATATGGGAGATACAGCTGATAGTATGAGTGTAAAGGGAAATACAGCTGGTATTGTCAGTATATGGGAGATACAGCTGGTAGTGTGAGTGTAAAGGGAGATATGAGTGTATAGAGGGAGATGCAGCTGACTGTGTGAGTGTAAATGGTATGCAACTGATGATATTATACAGTTTTTGTTATCACTGGATTTTGCAGGTGCTGTGATATCATTTGATATCATCACAGGTTGGAACCCAGTGAATCTGTATGACCAGCTCATGAATTCTTTGTTGGTAAGTGGCCCCTTGTCTTTAACAGGCAGCCCTGGATTATTGTTGTATGTAAATAGAAGACTCTAGTCACATCAGCCTTTGCAAGCATGGTTTATACCTAAAACATGTTCCTGATCATTGTATCATACATACTGAAACTGCTTGGATCTTGACACTAGACAGCTGCTGTGTGTATCTGGTGAGAGATATCACAAACTGCTTGGATCTTGACACTAGACAGCTGCTATGTGTATCTGGTGAGAGATATCACAAACTGCTTGGATCTTGACATTATATAATTGTGAGTGTATCTGGTGAGAGATATCACAAACTGCTTGGATCTTGACACTAAATAGCTACTGTGTGTATCTGGTGAGAGATATCACAAACTGCTTGGATCTTGACACTAGACAGCTGCTGTGTGTATCTGGTGAGAGATATCACAGACTGCTTGGATCTTGACACTAGATAATTGTGAGTGTATCTGGTGAGAGATATCACAGACTGCTTGGATCTTGACACTAGATAATTGTGAGTGTATCTGGTGAGAGATATCACAGACTGCTTGGATCTTGACACTAGATAATTGTAAGTGTATCTGGTGAGAGATATCACAGACTGCTTGGATCTTGACACTAGATAATTGTAAGTGTATCTGGTGAGAGAAATCACAGACTGCTTCGATCTTGACTCTAGATAATTGTGAGTGTATCTGATGAAAGATATCACAGACTGCTTGGATATTGACACTAGATAATTGTGAGTGTATCTGGTGAGAGAAATCACAGACTGCTTCGATCTTGACACTAGATAATTGTGAGTGTATCTGGTGAGAGAAATCACAGACTGCTTCGATCTTGACACTAGATAATTGTGAATGTATCTGGTGAGAGATATCAAAAACTGCTTCAATCTTGACATTATATAATTGTGTGTGTATCTAGTGAGAGATATCTCAGACTGCTTGGATCTTGACACTAGATAATTGTGTGTGTATCTGGTGAGAGATATCACAAGCTGCTTCGATCTTGACACTAGATAATTGTGTGTGTATCTGGGAAGAGATATCACAAACTGCTTCGATCTTGACACTAGATAATTGTGAGTGTATCTGGTGAGAGATATCACAAACTGCTTCGATCTTGACACTAGACAGTTGTGTGTGTATTTAGTGAGAGATATCACAGACTGCTAGACTCTTGACACTAGATAATTGTGAGTGTATCTGGTGAGAGATATCACAAACTGCTTAGATCTTGACATCATATAATTGTGTGTGTATCTGGGAAGAGATATCACAAACTACTTCGATCTTGACACTAGATAATTGTGAGTGAATCTGGTTAGAGATATCACAGACTGCTTGGATCTTGACATTAGACAGTTGTGTGTGTATCTGGTTAGTGATATCACAAACTACTTGGATCTTGACACTATATAATTGTGTGTATATCTGGTGAGAGATATCACAGACTGCTTCGATCTCGTCACTAGACAACTATTTTTTTTTTTCAGGCAGAAGAAGAGGAGGATGCTTGTGGCAATGATGAACTATTGTTGGATATCAATGTAGCGAAAGCCAAGTAAGCTGAAGCCAAAGGGTGTCTCTGCCAACTTGAGTGCATTGATGTTTTTTTGGTTTTTTGTTTGTGTGTTTTTGTGTGTGTGATTATTGTCACATGGCTTCAATTTTGTTAGGAGTCTTGGTGGCCAAATGGTCAGTACACTTTGCATGTGAAGACAGTGATCTAGGTTCCTTTCCCCACAAAGGCAGTGTTATTTTTTTAAACCAGTAAGGCTGCGAGCCTCATAAATATTGAAACTGACCAATGAAAAGAAAAAAGTATTTGTGTAGGAAAGCATTGAAGAGGAAAGCCACTTTCATTGTTGTGGTTTTAGAATTTGTGAAGATTACGTCCAAATGGTAGTTGCTGAGATGGAACTACTTTTGACATATTTTTGCTATTGTTGTTGTAATAAGTGTGTGTATGTATGTGTATGCATGCACAAGTGTAAATTTTTTTTTTAACACAATAGAAAATTTTTCCTTGATAAAGGCTTTAATAGTTTAAATACTGGATATGATTATTACAGAGAGAAGGGGAAGAGAGAGAAGGATATATATTCTTGTGACTACCTCTCATCCTTTGTGTTTTAGAGGTTTGACATTGTAGTCAGTAATATATATACTGGTTAAAGCATAAGCTATATTTGTATCCTGCTGGACAGGCATGTTTGAACATGTAGACACATCACCTGCTAATGATTGCCTCCCTGGAGTATCAGCATTGAAGCAACTCATGTTCTGTCGTAGGTCCTCTCTGATTGCCCACATCAGAAGGAGACGATCTACATTTTTTGGGTCATGTCATGAGAAGGAGAAAACTGGAGTACATCATGAAGATGGGAAAGTTGGCAGAGGGAGACTGAAAAAGACGATGGACAGTTTGACATCATAGCATGTAAGATCATTTGCGTCAGAATTGGTTGAAAGTACATGAGAAAGAAGGGTTTGTGGATAGACATGGTTACCAATGGTACATGGCATGGATTGTTGGAAGAAGACAGTAGTCAGAAGGTTGTGGATAGACGCGACTAACAATGCCACTGTTGCATGAACTGTAAGAAGAAGACAGGAGTGAGATGGTTCTGGATAGACATGACTAACAATGCGCCACGTGGCATGGACTATAACAAAAAGACATTTCCTGTAGCTGACTTCATGTTCTCCCCATATTATCTATCTCTGTCTCTGATTCTCTTCTCCAATTGTTTTCAGGTCTCCCTTTACCTCTTTTTCCTTTTGATCGCAGTGCAGGCACATTCTAGTTATTCATTCTAGTTATTCATTCTAGTTATACATTCTAGTTATACATTCTAGTTATACATTCTAGTTATTCATTCTAGTTATTCATTCTAGTTATACATTCTAGTTATACATTCTAGTTATACATTCTAGTTATTCATTCTAGTTATTCATTCTAGTTATTCATTCTAGTTATACATTCTAGTTATATATTCTAGTTATACATTCTAGTTATACATTCTAGTTGTACATTCTAGTTGTACATTCTAGTTGTACATTCTAGTTGTACATTCTAGTTGTACATTCTAGTTGTACATTCTAGTTATAAATTCTAGTTATACATTCTAGTTATTCATTCTAGTTATTCATTCTAGTTATACATTCTAGTTATACATTCTAGTTATACATTCTAGTTAAACATTCTAGTTATACATTCTAGTTATTCATTCTAGTTATACATTCTAGTTATACATTCTAGTTATACATTCTAGTTATTCATTATAGTTAGTTATACATTCTAGTTATACATTCTAGTTATACATTCTAGTTATACATTCTAGTTATACATTCTAGTTATACATTCTAGTTATACATTCTAGTTATACGATGATAAGTTTTTCTGAATGGGTGCCCAATGCAGGAGCAGGACCTCACTTATTGACTGATTGGGACTTGTTTAATTGTCTCCCCAAATACTGCAATCTCCAGTGTAAAACCCCAAACTATACTTCCAGTAAGCCAGGGCACTAATCACTGTTGTCATCGTTACCACTGTCACACAGCATGTGAGATGTTTGTGACATGTGACACAGCCAAAACAGCAGCTGCTGAGAGCCGACCTTCATCCTAGTCGTACACCCAGTTGTAACCAGAAACCTGGCAGGAAACAAATTCATACAGAGATAAGGTTACTCACAGGATCAACTCCATTGATTGACTGGCTCATACAGCACCTGGCAATGTTGGCCATGATTTATGAGTGTTCTTATCACACGACTCAAGTCTGTATTGACGGGCACAGCCTAGCATACTCTGGTAATTAGTCATGTATTGATCATATGGAAAGTTTAATCCGTGACCTGCCTACAATATGTAACCATGCAGATATTGATCTGAGCTGTTGTGTGTGTGGTGTTGTTGCTAGCACAAGCTGTTAGCTCATTCTCTACAGATTATGACAAAAAGTCCTGGAACAATCCAGACTTTTGACCAGAGTTCAGACCTTGTGAACATGAAGAAGAAGTTCGCCATCAGTTATGCTTTAGTCTTTATCTGAGCTCACTAATTATAAAATAAATCATTATCAGTTAATCTTTGGTCTAGATCTGAGCTCACTAATTATAAAATAAATCATTATCAGTTACTCTTTGGTCTAGATCTGAGCTCACTATATATAAAATAAATCATCATCAGTTAATCTTTGGTCTAGATCTGAGCTCACTATATATAAAATAAATCATCATCAGTTAATCTTTGGTCTAGATCTGAGCTCACTATATATAAAATAAATCATCATCAGTTAATCTTTGGTCTAGATCTGAGCTCACTATATACAAAATAAATCACAATCAGTTAATCTTTGGTCTAGATTTGAGCTCACTGTATACAAAACAGATTACTATCAGAGTTGCTTTAATCTATATCTGAGCTCATTCTGTACAAAACAGTTCACCATCAGTAATTCATTAGCTGAGATGTTATTTCAGAAAGACATGTCATTTTTGGCAAGGTCCTGAAATAATAATCACATGCAGCATTTAGTCATTTTTACAGACAGCCTAGTGTTTTATTAGAGTCCATTGGTTTCTGTCTGATTGGTGGATCCTGCCTCCATTAGCATTAACGACTGGCCAAGAAATCGTGTTGCTAGCAGCAGATTGGCAATCAGTGAGAGTCCTGTATTGTGGTTTTCTGTAGAATGATCACACACACACATACACACAGAGTGAGTGAGAGAGCGAGTTAGTGAGAGAGAGAGAGAGACTAATTAATGTTTAGCGCAATGTGCTGCCGGTAAATACTTGAAGAAAATCTGAGTAGAACTTCTTCTTCATCTTCTTTTAAACGTGTAAACTCCAGAGGAAAGTTCGGGTTGTTCCTCCACCTCTGGACTTTAGTTTTCTTCCAGAACGTGTGTTTTGCGTGTACATCTGTTTTTCAGATCTGGCTTATTTGAATACTGATTCCTCGTTTCTCAGGCAGATGCAATCCTTCAAAGGGAATATCCCTAATTAGTCAACTTTTACGACTTGCTTATGGGGGGAACCTATTGTCTCCCCCCCCCCCTCTCCCACACACACACACACATTGGGGCCCCTGAACCCACACAGGAAAGTTGAGTAAATGATATAATAGATAGATATCTATGCTGCTGTGTGGTGAATGAGTAATTCTGTTTCAGGGTGCAGGATCTTGAATTGTTGATGAAATCCATTAGGGATCGGCAGGGAAAAGTTATTCAGTCGTTGCCTTTTAATGTAAGTTGTTTAACTGGTTGCCACTGTGATCATGGTTGTTCCACAGTTGAATGCGTACAGTAGCATGTGTTCACTCGGTTATGTAGATTATAATATGAACAGTATATGTATATGTATTATGCTGTAGAATGTATACATTATAATGTGTACAGCAGAATGTGTGCAGCAGAATGTGTTTGCTCAGTTATATAGAATTTAATATGTGCAGTAGAATGTGTACAGTAGAATGTGTGCAGCAAAATGTGTTTAGTCGGTTGTGTAGAGTAGAATGTGTGCAGCAGAATGTATGCAGTAGAATGTGTACAGATGAATGTATACAGTAGACTGTACAGTAGAATGTGTGCAGTAGAATGTGTACAGTAGAATGTGTGCAGTAGAATCTGTATAGTAGAATGTGTGCAGCAGATTGTGCACAGTAGAATGTGTGCAGTAGAATGTGTACAGTAGAATGTGTGCAGCAGATTGTGTACAGCAGAATGCGTACAACAAAATGTATACAGTAGAATGTGTACAATAGAATGTGTGCAGCAGAATATGTTCTGCAGAATGTGTACTGTAGAATGCAAGCAGTAGAATATGTATGGTACAGAACTATTCTTTGCCAGCCTGGGTAATTTGAATGCAGCTTAAATACTGTCTAGATATATATGTATCCTCTTCATGTCGCTGTTGACACAGGAGGCATTCACAAGAGATCTCCACGGCTGCTGGTCTGCTGCTTTTCTGCCCATGGTATCCCATGTCAGTTTACATTCCTTCATTTCCCGTTCTGTTGTCCTTCTCCAGGTTTCATTAGGTCATCCACGTCTCCTATTCCCAACTGCTGTCCACCGGAGAGTGTTTTTGCCAGTGTCACAATGCATTCTGCAAACATGTCCAAGCCATCTCCATCATCTTACTTTGATAACATTTGCCAGTGATGCACATTGTTTTCCTCCTCAATTCTTCATTTGTGATCTTGTTTGGCCAAAGTATTCGTAGAATCCTCCTTAAACATTTTTTTTGAAAAGTCTCAAGTTTATGTGTAATTCCACTGTCATTTTCTAACATTCACTGTTGTATAATATATATATATATATATATATATATATATATATATATATATATATATATATATATATATATATATATATATATATATATATATACATACATATTTTAGGGCTGTACCAAATAGTGATTTTCACTATTCGGCCGAATATGAATAGCTGGACCAACTATTCGGCCGAATACGAATACGAATAGTGAATCATCATCATCAGGTGCTTTGCCAACTGGCATGGGCGATTATGCCTCGCCACAATCTGCGATCTCCTGCAGCATGTATTAGTTCGTGTGCTGACACACCTCCATACCATGCAACAAGACTGTCAAGAATCTTCTCTCGTTGTCTTCCTCTATCCCCCTTTCCACAGATCATTCCTGTGGTCACCACATGTTCTATTTTCCCTCATCTTATAACATGGCCGAAAAATGATGACTGTCTCCTTCTGATGTCTGTGAGTAGTTGTCTTCGGGCTCCTGCCTCTATCAAAACCTTTTGGTTGCTTTTTTTTTTTTGGGCTGTTCGAGGTATTTTAAGCATTGTTCTGTAAAACCACATCTCTAAGGCCTCAAAAAATTGTTTGGCCTGCCTACCGATTGTCCAGGACTTACAGCCATAGGTTAAAACTGGATGTATGAAACAAGCAAGAATTCTTTTTCTAACCTTCAATGACAAAGATATATTGCATAAGATGTTCTTCATTTTATAAAATGCAGTTTTTGCCTGTCCTATTCTGTTTCTTATTTCAGTAATGCATCTTCCATCTGATGTTATCCATGTGCCCAGATACTTAAATTTCTGTACTTGTCCCAAAATAAAACCATTGACTTTTATTACACATTTAGGAATAATTATTATCTTTGATACCACTATTACTTCTGTCTTCCCACTATTCAAACTGAGGCCCATTCTTTCACTTTTGTGTATAAAATAGATCTAAAAAAAAACATCCATAATGTCAAATGTACGCTGAAATTTTACTTCACAAAATGTAGTACAGAAAAATAAACATTTAAAAACATATCATGTTTTGCATCCTTCAGTCAGTCAGTCTGTGGTAACTAATACCTAGGAATGAAAGTATTCTTAGTTTTAAAACAAGTAACCAAACTTGTAAATTGTAACTGACAGCTAAGTTAATCCATGAAAGCGGCATTAGCTTACACAAAAAAAAAAATCGTTCCACGTTGTCAGCATTAAAGCAGCTTCTTGTCTCACTGAAGGTATTTCCAGCTGTGCTAAACAGACGTTCACTCGGTACGCTCTTAGGTGGTGCACAAAGAAAACGCTTGCCAGTATGAACCAAGGTGGGAAATCTTGATATATTTATTTTCCACCAGACCAGAAACTCGTGTAAGGTAACCACTATTCGTATTCGGCCCGACCGCAACTATTAGGCTGAATACCGAATAGTTATTAGGTTCACTATTCGGCTCGACCGCAACTATTAGGCTGAATACCGAATAGTTATTAGGTCCACTATTCGGCCCGACAGCAACTATTAGGCTGAATACCAAATAGTTATTAGGTCCACTATTCGGCCCGACCGCAACTATTAGGCTGAATACCGAATAGTTAGTAGGTCCATTATTCGGCCCGACTGCAACTATTAGGCTGAATACCGAATAGTTATTAGGTCCACTATTCGGGCCGACCGCAACTATTAGGCTGAATACCGAATAGTTATTAGGTCCACTATTCGGCCCAAAAGCAAATACGAAGCGAATATTCGGTACAGCACTAATATATATATATATATATATATATATATATATATATATATATTGGGAAATAAAAAAGATAGACCTGCTGTCAACTAACAGGCATGTCATAAATGATGACTGATTAGGTTTTTGCAGAAATGTGATATGTTTGGCCAGAAGGCATAGGTATTGCAGCATGCTGTCAACTGCAACATGATGTGCTAGCCGCCTTTTTGAGGGTAATGCCCAGAAGAAGAAAAAGAATACCTAATTAAATGAAGCATTATTATGTCATGTGAGATTGACTTTCACCGACTCTTCATTTAGGTTGAAAACTTGTTCTCTATTGGATCACCCTTGGCTGTTTTCCTGGCCTTAAGGGGTGTGAGACCTCAAGGAATCGGCTCCCAGGACCACATTATACCCACTTCTCTATGCAAGCGTTTGTTTAATATTTTCCACCCGTCTGATCCTGTTGTAAGTACTTGTTAGTATTAAAATGTTGATACAGCTGTGTCTATTTAGAAAATAACATGTAAAACTATCCACAGCTGACTTGAATGTAATGTTTAAATCTTGATTGAGTAAATGACATAGAGGAGCTGAAATATTTGTATAGAACCATGCAAACAAATATGTTGAGGGTAATATGATTGCTACAGAACAGTTGAGTTCATATAATACCTTGGATGAAGAAGAAAAGTAACACCAGCATCCGCTGTCATCTAGGCCTTGGAGAGAAATGGCTGATAAAACAGCATCTTGTATTTAAGCCATATTAGACCTCGTGATGGCCTGGAGAGAATGGGGATGGGGTGCACAGTCCAGAAATTGAGGCAGAAGCAGACCTCAGCGAAGGTGGATACAAGACATTGAAGATGTGTTGGCTATGAAAGTGCATAGGGCTGGAGAGCTGGCTAGAGAAAAAGATACTTTGAGATGTGCCATGACAAGAGCGATGTTGTGTTAAGGAACTGCTGATTGATGACGAGTTTGATCAGTAGAGAGCAGCAGTAGAACAGTGGCCAGTACACATGCCTCCTGGACCAGCAGTTATTAGTTCATTTTCTTGTGAGGTAGGGACCTTTTCCTAAGATTAGGACTCCCACATTGACCTAGCCTGCGACAGCACTTGGGACAGACATTTCCGTAAGTGCTCAGTCCCCATTTTCAACAGCCAGCACAGAGTTACAGTTTTAATGGTACCAGTTGATTCACTCACTGACTTTTCCTTGTGAGGTAGGGACCTTTTCCAAATACTAGGACACCCAGGTTGACCTAAACTGCCAGGACATTTGTATAGAACTAGTTGAGCTAAAGGCCAGCTTTCCTCACATCACTTTCCATAAGTGCTCCATCCCCATCTTCAACAGCCAACAAAGAGTTACAGTTCTGATGGTACCACTGAATATCACGATTGCACATTTTGCGATCCGTTGGCATTTACAGCTGGCTACCACGATCGCACCCTTTGCAATTGTCACTAGGGCGCTGGCCGCCATGTTAAAATTACAATTTTTGCTTTAAATTTAGTTGAAGCTGTTAGTTTATTAATTTCTGTTTAGTTTTTTATTTGAAGGGAAACAATTCAGTAGTGCTTAAAGTAAAAACAGCAATGACATGGAAAAGAAAACGTGATTTAGCAAATATTGCATCAAGGGTTGGACTACAAATAAGTTATGACAAGACAAATATATTGAAGACACCAACAACAGGTCAGGCAGATGTAACTCTAGAGACAACAGTAATTAAAGTAACAGATTGATTTAATTATTTAGGCAGTAATTTTGATAGTAAAGGAAATAGAAAGAAATTATGACCCGTATTGACAAGGCATCAACAGTTTTTAATAGCTTGAACAAAATGTGGAACTCTAGTTGTATAGTTTTAAAACCAAGTTGCGTATTTTCACTTCTAATATTATGTCACTTTTAACATATACAAGTAAAAGTTGGAGAATCATTAAGGACATGGAACGAAAGCTAAATGCATTCAATAACACGTGTGTGAGGAAAATAATGAAACTAAAATGGGAAGAATTAAATTTGAGTAAAGAAATAAGACGGTTAGCGGGGTAGGGGTATCCCCTATCAAAGGAGAAGTAAGACGCCTCCTTTCCTCCGCTAGTCTACGGGACACCCTTGGGCAAGGTGGAGTACCCGTTTAGCCCCCCAATCAGGGTTACGTGAAGCCATGGAAGCAGGTGGTGGATGGAGTGTAAGAGCAGCCGACAGGTATTGTTGGTTATGGTCTGCACTCTGCGGCGATAGGCAGATGATCTCACCAGTAGAGACAATGGCTATGGCCACCGACTAGTATAGTCACTGCTCAGGAGGAAAGCAACGGCAAACTACCTTCTGCAAATTTTGCCAAGAATCCATAACAATCATGAAAGTGAAAATCATAACTTATTTCTTAACATAGCAAAAACAAAGATAATGCATACAAACAAAACTGCCATGGAGAAGGAAATATATGTTAATGAGGAAAGATTGGAAGTGGTGGAAAATTTCGAATATCTTGGGTCACTGGTTACCAACAATGGTGACACAATGAAAGAAATTAAACGGCGACTATCAATTGCTCTTCAAAGACTAAAACAACTGAATAAATTATGGAATTGTACAGATAGAACTACAAAGGTCAGATTTTTAAGAGCATGCATCTTTCCCATTGCAACATACGCCTGTGAGACCTGGACACTTACTAAACAAGCGGAACAGCGCATAAATGCATTTGAATGTAAATGTTACAGACAGGTTCTAAGAATATCTTGGGTAAAGAAAAGAACAAATGCATCCATACTTCAAGAGCTGAATATTGAAGAGGGTTGGCTAGTAAAGACAATAAAACAAAGAAAATTGAAAAATTTTGGTCACTTGAAACGTCATGGAAGTCTAGAGAGAACAATAATGGAGGGGTATATGCCTGGGAAGAGAGGAAGAGGAAGGCCAAGGAGAAGATGGGTGCAGGATGTGGCAGATGATCTCCAGATGGGTGTATCAGACGCAGGACATCTTGCTCAGGATAGGAAGATTTTCCGGAGGGTTGTTATGGCAGCGAGGTTCCGCGAGGGACATGCTACTGAATGAAATGAAAGAAATAAGAGAAATGTCTGGGCAGCCACTAGTATCAACAGTCATAAGACAGAGAAGATGGTGCTATACTTGACACATTCTGAGAAGAAGCCAGCATAGAATCACCAAACAGGCACTGAAATGGGAAATAAAGGGGGCAAGAACGCCCAAAAGAAATCCTAAGACAAATATTGAAGATAGAGGCCAAAGCTGCTGTAGTAGATTCCATCCATGATGTTGAACTGATTGCATAATATATAATGGAATGGGGGAATAGAATGTGAGCCCTAAGTGACATATAATGGTGTCACAGGATTATAATGATGATGATGTCTCAGTAAAGTTACAAGTCTTGTCTTGGATAGGACACACATTGAGAAAACCTGAGAAGGATATAACTAGACTGTCTTTGCACTGGAATCCACAGGGGCATAGAAATAAAGGAAGACCAAAAAACACATGGAGAAGGAAGCTGGAGAGAGAAGTTGAAAAGGTGGGGAGAGCTGCATGAGGTAGCGAAGGATAGAATGACTTGGCGTGAGTTGGGGGCTAGAAAGGCAGAAGAAGAAGACAAAAGTTTTATAGAATTCTCTACTTGTATTTCTCTAGACTGTACCCAGAAATCATTCCAGCATTGCTAGGAAGGCTAACACAGGCAACAGATTCCTGCCAAAGTTGGATGTGTCAGGCCAAGGGTGCAAATATCGCAACCACAGCTCATTTATGTCTTCAGATAAACACAGAAGAAGATGATTCCAGAGTTGAGTTTGTTTGTTGGCAACTCAGTTGAGTTTGTAAATCCTTGGGCTCATTGCTCAGCACAGAGAAATCTTTGCTGTTAAAATGTCTACGATTCTGCGTTAAGAATGATTTTAAGAATTATTCATTCTGATGCTTTTTTTTTTTCAGGCCTACAGACTGGAGCCTTTGATCTTGAAGCATTACTCAACCATTATGCCTTTACATATTCATCATTTTTCTGCACCCAAAAAGGAGCCTTACTCTAAAATCCCTAGCAGGGCCTATGCTGCATTCACTGGAGCCCTGGATGAGCTGACCAAAGACAAGACTAAATTTGAGGACAACGGAGACAGTGAGGGCAGTGGCAGGGACGAACCAACTGACCCCTCGGTTCAGGTCAAAGGACAAAAATTTTCCCTAGGTAAGTCACAGTGTGTGCAGAAATGAATTGTCTTTGCATGTATGCTCTCACGGAGGGGATAGAGGCTAGGAGAGACCAGGTGGAGAATGTTGGACAGTTAGCATCATGGCATAGAAGAACATGTATATTAGAAATGGCTGCTAGTACATGAGACTGAAGGCTTTAGACAAACTTGGTAACAAACAACACAAGGCACGGACTATACAAGGACCCACAATTAAGTAATGAGATTAATTACATCAAAATTAAAATTATCAACAGCTGAAGATAAAACCTCTAGCTTTCCAATTTTATTCAAAGTAAGCCCCTTGTGCATTGATACAGCAAGTGGCACGATCTAACAAACACTGGAACGACATCTGTAGTTCTTCTGTTGTTATGAACCTTAAAATCGATGATACAACTTTTTGGATGTCAACAAAATAGTTTTAAAAAGCGTCCTTTCAATCAAAACTTTAATTTTGGGAATAGAAAATAATCATCAATACAAACAGAAATTTTGCGTCTAGGTGCATTAGTAATCATTTCCACACCACTTTTGAATCGTGAATACCACCTGAAAATTTGTGTACGAGATAAACAATTATCCCCATAAACTTGTTGAATTAATTTAACTGTTTCACTGGCGCTTTTTCTGAGTTTTAACAAGAATTTAATGTGAGCTTTTTGCTCCGTGCTGATTACGTAACAATGCATCTTTGGCTTATCGAGAGGTGATGAAAAGTTGCCAAATCATAGATAAATCTTGTCTCTTTAGATTCCATGCTTTGCTTTATATATGGCATTTATGTCTTGGCCATAATAAAATTAGTCTCATTGCTTAATTGTTGGACCTTGTAGGAAGTCACTGTGAGGACCTGGTAATATAAGTGTTCAAATTATTTCATTTAGAACATGAACAGCGGAATTGGGAGGGCTGTATTGCTGCCTCCGAATGTGTTGGTATTAGTGGGCATTAACTGTCCTGTCACTCAAGTGTGTGTTAGTATTAGTGGGCATTAACTGTCCTGTCACTCAAGAGTGTGCTAGTATTAGTGGGCATTAACTGTCCTGTCACTCAAGTGTGTGTTAGTATTAGTGGGCATTAACTTTCCTGTCACTCAAGTGTGTGTTAGTATTAGTGGGCATTAACTGTCCTGTCACTCAAGCGTGTGTTAGTATTAGTGGGCATTAACTGTCCTGTCACTCAAGTGTGTGTTAGTATTAGTGGGCATTAACTTTCCTGTCACTCAAGTGTGTGTTAGTATTAGTGGGCATTAACTGTCCTGTCACTCAAGTGTGTGTTAGTATTAGTGGGCATTAACTGTCCTGTCACTCAAGTGTGTGTTAGTATTAGTGGGCATTAACTGTCGTGTCACTCAAGCGTGTGTTAGTATTAGTGGGCATTAACTGTCCTGTCACTCAAGCGTGTGTTAGTATTAGTGGGCATTAACTGTCGTGTCACTCAAGAGTGTGTTAGTATTAGTGGGCATTAACTGTCCTGTCACTCAAGCGTGTGTTAGTATTAGTGGGCATTAACTGTCGTGTCACTCAAGCGTGTGTTAGTATTAGTGGGCATTAACTGTCGTGTCACTCAAGTGTGTGTTAGTATTAGTGGGCATTAACTGTCCTGTCACTCAAGTGTGTGTTAGTATTAGTGGGCATTAACTGTCCTGTCACTCAAGAGTGTGTTAGTATTAGTGGGCATTAACTGTCCTGTCACTCAAGCGTGTGTTAGTATTAGTGGGCATTAACTGTCCTGTCACTCAAGTGTGTGTTAGTATTAGTAGGCATTAACTGTCCTGTCACTCAAGAGTGTGTTAGTATTAGTGGGTATTAACTGTCCTGTCACTCAAGAGTGTGTTAGTATTAGTGGGCATTAACTGTCCTGTCACTCAAGAGTTTGTTAGTATTAGTGGGCATTAACTGTCCTGTCACTCAAGTGTGTGTTAGTATCAGTGGGCATTAACTGTACTGTCACTCAAGCGTGTGTTAGTATTAGTGGGCATTAACTATCCTGTCACTCAAGCGTGTGTTAGTATTAGTGGGCATTAACTATCCTGTCACTCAAGAGTGTGTTAGTATTAGTGGGCATTACCCGTCCTGTCACTCAAGCGTGTGTTAGTATTAGTGGGCATTAACTATCCTGTCATTCAAGCATGTGTTAGTGTTAGTATTAGTGGGCATTAACTGTCCTGTCACTCAAGCGTGTGTTAGTGTTAGTATCAGTGGGCATTAACTGTCCTGTCACTCAAGAGTGTGTTAGTATTAGTTGGCATTAACTGTCCTGTCACTCAAGCGTGTGTTAGTATTTGTGGGCATTAACTGTCCTGTCACTCAAGAGTGTGTTAGTATCAGTGGGCATTAACTGTCCTGTCACTCAAGCGTGTGTTAGTATTAGTCGGCATTAACTGTCCTGTCACTCAAGTGTTTGTTAGTATTAGTGGGCATTAACTGTCCTGTCACTCAAGAGTGTGTTAGTATTAGTAGGCATTAACTGTCCTGTCACTGAAGCCTGTGTTAGTATTTGTGGGCATTAACTGTCCTGTCACTCAAATGTGTGTTAGTATTAGTTGGCATTAACACTCCTGTCACTCAAGAGTGTGTTAGTATTAGTGGGCATTAACTGTCCTGTCACTCAAGCGTGTGTTAGTATTAGTGGGCATTAACTGTCCTGTCACTCAAGCGTGTGTTAGTATTAGTGGGCATTAACACTCCTGTCACTCAAGTGTGTGTTAGTATTAGTGGGCATTAACTGTCGTGTCACTCAAGCGTGTGTTAGTATTAGTGGGCATTAACTGTCCTGTCACTCAAGTGTGTGTTTGTATTAGTGGGCATTAACTGTCCTGTCACTCAAGTGTGTGTTAGTATTTGTGGGCATTAACTGTCCTGTCACTCAAGAGTGTGTTAGTATCAGTGGGCATTAACTGTCCTGTCACTCAAGCGTGTGTTAGTATTAGTCGGCATTAACTGTCCTGTCACTCAAGTGTGTGTTAGTATTAGTAGTGGGCATTAACTGTCCTGTCACTCAAGCGTGTGTTAGTATTAGTGGGCATTAACTGTCCTGTCACTCAAGCGTGTGTTAGTATTAGTGGGCATTAACTGTCCTGTCACTCAAGCGTGTGTTAGTATTAGTGGGGCATTAACTGTCCTGTCACTCAAATGTGTGTTAGTATTAGTGGGCATTAACTGTCCTGTCACTCAAGCGTGTGTTAGTATTAGTGGGCATTAACTGTCCTGTCACTCAAGTGTGTGTTAGTATTAGTGGGCATTAACTGTCCTGTCACTCAAGTGTGTGTTAGTATTAGTGGGCATTAACTGTCCTGTCACTCAAGCGTGTGTTAGTAATTGTGGGCATTAACTGTCTTGTCACTCAAATGTGTGTTAGTATTAGTGGGTATTAACTGTCCTGTCACTCAAGTGTGTGTGTTAGTATTAGTGGGCATTAACTGTCCTGTCACTCAAGTGTGTGTTAGTATTAGTGGGCATTAACTGTCCTGTCACTCAAGTGTGTGTTAGTATTAGTGGGCATTAACTGTCCTGTCACTCAAGTGTGTGTTAGTATTAGTGGGCATTAACTGTCCTGTCACTCAAGAGTGTGTTAGTATTAGTGGGCATTAACTGTCCTGTCACTCAAGAGTGTGTGTTAGTATTAGTGGGCATTAACTGTCCTGTCACTCAAGTGTGTGTTAGTATTAGTGGGCATTAACTGTCCTGTCACTCAAGTGTGTGTTTAGTATTAGTGGGTCATTAACTGTCCTGTCACTCAAGAGTGTGTTAGTATTAGTGGGCATTAACTGTCCTGTCACTCAAGAGTGTGTTAGTATTAGTGGGCATTAACTGTCCTGTCACTCAAGTGTGTGTTAGTATTAGTGGGCATTAACTGTCCTGTCACTCAAGTGTGTGTTAGTATTAGTGGGCATTAACTGTCCTGTCACTCAAGTGTGTGTTAGTATTAGTGGGCATTAACTGTCCTGTCACTCAAGAGTGTGTTAGTATTAGTGGGCATTAACTGTCCTGTCACTCAAGTGTGTGTTAGTATTAGTGGGCATTAACTGTCCTGTCACTCAAGTGTGTGTTAGTATTAGTGGGCATTAACTGTCCTGTCACTCAAGTGTGTTAGTATTAGTGGGCATTAACTGTCCTGTCACTCAAGTGTGTGTTAGTATTAGTGGGCATTAACTGTCCTGTCACTCAAGTGTGTGTTAGTATTAGTGGGCATTAACTGTCCTGTCACTCAAGTGTGTGTTAGTATTAGTGGGCATTAACTGTCCTGTCACTCAAGTGTGTGTTAGTATTAGTGGGCATTAAGTGGGCATTAACTGTCCTGTCACTCAAGTGTGTGTTAGTATTAGTGGGCATTAACTGTCCTGTCACTCAAGTGTGTGTTAGTATTAGTGGGCATTAACTGTCCTGTCACTCAAGTGTGTGTTAGTATTAGTGGGCATTAACTGTCCTGTCACTCAAGTGTGTGTTAGTATTAGTGGGCATTAACTGTCCTGTCACTCAAGAGTGTGTTAGTATTAGTGGGCATTAACTGTCCTGTCACTCAAGCGTGTGTTAGTATTAGTGGGCATTAACTGTCCTGTCACTCAAGTGTGTGTTAGTATTAGTGGGCATTAACTGTCCTGTCACTCAAGAGTGTGTTAGTATTAGTGGGCATTAACTGTCCTGTCACTCAAGAGTGTGTTAGTATTAGTGGGCATTAACTGTCCTGTCACTCAAGCGTGTGTTAGTATTAGTGGGCATTAACTGTCCTGTCACTCAAGTGTGTGTTAGTATTAGTGGGCATTAACTGTCCTGTCACTCAAGTGTGTTAGTTAGTATTAGTGGGCATTAACTGTCCTGTCACTCAAGTGTGTGTTAGTATTAGTGGGCATTAACTGTCCTGTCACTCAAGTGTGTGTTAGTATTAGTGGGCATTAACTGTCCTGTCACTCAAATGTGTGTTAGTATTAGTGGGCATTAACTGTCCTGTCACTCAAGAGTGTGTTAGTATTAGTGGGCATTAACTGTCCTGT